AAATTGGTACCATCCTTTGGATGGGAGTTGTAAGGGTACTAAAACCTTCCTCGAACGTAACCGTATTCTTAGACCTAAATCTAGTTGTGTGGATTAGAACCTATCTTTTAAAGATACCTAAGTCAAAGTTGAGACTTCACTTTTAAAATGGGACGAATTCAATTAACTGATCAATCGCACCTAGATAAAAAATATTAGTAACTACTTCTCTTATTATATCTAGCGGTGAGTTTACAAATTTATACATTATGGCATATACAAGCTTTTATACTTGTGTAATATTGATTTGCTACTCTACCATGAATCAAGTTGGTACAAGATTCCTTGGCTTCTTTGAACCAAGCTCTGCTATCAGTTTGTTGTAACTAATCCAAGCAAGTCAAAATGACAGCAAGCAAATTCACCATAAAAGAATTTGAACTCGCAACAAAAAAATAATTTGTGAAAATAACAAACAATAATTTGTGGTTTGGCTTTAAACCTATGTCACGGATAAAGATGATGACAAATTTTACTATAAAAATAACATGACGATTATACAAAGTTTTGACACCTAAAGGCTAAAGCTTATTAGATTCCACTCTCCAAAAACCTGAGAACTACGACAAATTTTGCTTTTAAAATTGAGAGTAAATTTCACCTCTAGTCACCAATCTATCACCAAAATCCAAAATTGATTACTAAACTTTAATACGTACCAAATTGGTCACGTAAGCAGCCATGTAAGTTATTTTAAACAATTTGCCACATAAGCTTGTCTTTTTTTTTCACCCAAACCCTAATTTTCTTTGCTTTTCTCTACTTTGCTACATGATCTCTAATAGCCCCAAAGCACCCTAAAGCAAAAGAAATTTGTCATCCTTCCATAGCCGCAGTCATCGCTACACTCCCACTTTCCTTTTTTTTTTTTTTTTTCTCTCAGTTCCTCTCCTCACCGCTGCACTCTCCTCTGTTTTATGCCTTGGTTAAGGTGCATTTAGTATTTTAATAATGGGTTTTTTCCTTTTTGATTCATTTTGAGTATATGTTGTTATTCATATATTCGTATTGTGTAAAATATTAAAATTTATATCATATTTTACACGAAAATTACATATTATTTTTATGTTTTTATTTTGTATTTTGTTCTATTCTTATCATCTTACTGTATTTTAGAATGTCAGATTTATAGTGCCTATTTCGATATAGATTCTCTACCTTCCATGGCCGTATCTCCCTGATGGTGTATGCTTAAGTCTCTTTTCTTATTTTCCAATGAATATCTGTCAGCGTTTCTATTAAACAATTAACTTAAAATCAATTGGCTTCTCTTTATGCCAATTGATTTTAAGTTGAATATTTAAAAGTTTACTTCTCTTTCTCATTGCTTGTAAGTAGTCAGAACAACTTTTGTTTTTATTGCTAATAAAAAAAAAAGGGCTAATCTTTTATCCTGACTTTTTGTATAAAGAAGGAAGTGTGCATTTTTAACCATTCCTCTTGCTAGGTTTTAAAGTTATAGCCATTACGTAACAAAGAAATTACATAGTCAATTTGAAATTTCAGCGAGTTCAGGCAAGTGTAAATGCAAGTCCTCATAAATCTGGAAGGGATCGAATCGAATCCTTGGTTTTAATTTTAACGATTCATTAATTATATGTACCTTAAGATTTATGGTGGCTGAAATGAGTTAATGTACCCCATAATTTTATGGAGCAAAATAAGTTGTTTGCCTGTTTCAGCAATTCGAAACATCTGCAAGCCCCCACCTAACACAGCATATATAGTAAGAACGAGCAATAGCACGAAAGGTATTTCTTTGTTCTGTTCTCATCTTTTTTATTAATTTTAATTTTGAAATATTAAAAATATTGTTGTATAATTATTTTTCATATTTTAATAATAAAATATTATGAAATGGAAGGCTCGTTATTTTAATAATTATCAAAATTATTTGTTCAAAAACGAACCTTATAACATTTAAAGCTTGTTAAAAGCAAGTAACGTAAAGTTATTAATTTTGGAGTGTCGACATTGAACATTGTAAACCGAAAAGGCGAATGCTCAGTATAAATACTAATTTAAAGTACATAAATAAATCAATAGTACAATACCAACTTTTGTTTTTCCTAGTCAAGAAAAGATCATGAAAATAGTCAATTGCATTTTCATTTTCTTCCTCTTGCTTCAATATCAATTCTTCTCACTTGGTTCTGCAGATGTTGTTACAGTACCTCCATTTATAATAAGTAAAAAATCTATTTTGAAATATTTATCCTTAGAGAACATCAACTTTGATGTGCCAGCTTTATACGTATTTGGAGACTCTTATGTTGATGCGGGAAATAATAATTATGTTCATGTCCCGCAAATTGAAAGAAATTATACGCCATATGGAATAGATTTTGGTGGAAAACCTACGGGTCGTTACACCAACGGAAGAACGGTAGCGGATTTCATTGGTATGAAAATAAAAAATTAATGAATTACAAGTTATTGATTTTTGTGTTGTCCTCAATTTTTACTCTCGTGTAAAAATTATTGATTACTTCATTTTTTATTAATATAATTATGCAGCTCAAATTGTTGGCTTGCCATTCCCTCCTCCTGTGCTAAGCTTGTCTAAGGGAGATAAGAGAATTCCTCAAACTGGTATAAATTATGCTTGCGGTTTCACTGGCATCCTTGAAAAATTTGGAAAACTGTTTGTAAGACACCCTAATTTGCATAATTTTTCTTTCATATTATTTGTTTGTTTTTTTTTTCTTGGACATATTGTATTATCAAACACTTTTTTTTTAAGTAGAATTTGTAATTTCATCAGGAACGAATGCCAAGCTTGAAGGAGCAAGTAGATTTGTTCGAGAGCACAACAAAAGGGTTGCAGAGTCAATTTCAAAGCAAGGAAAGTTTTTCTAGATACTTGTCAAAATCACTTTTTTTTATCAATAGTGCTGCGTATGACTTGGATATCGAGTGGGATGGACTGCGCTATTTCTATGATGAGAACTATTATACTCAACTTCTCATAAAAGACTTATCCAAGCATTTACAGGTAAATTAGTCAGAACCAATGTTAAAATATTCTAAATCTTTTGATAATTTTATACATAATATGTAAATGATATGAAAAATATATAAAAGCAGTACTGTTTAAAATTAAAAAAAATATATAAATTTGATAAAAAAATATATATATATCTTATATTTAAAATATTCACAGAAATTATAACACAATAATTTTTATATTTTGTATGTGCTTAACATGAAACATATATGACACATATGCATGAATTATCAGATGTAACCTCAAATTAATTAGATGGTTGCCTTGATTTAATTATAGAGATGGAATTTTTTTCCTTTTTCTTTTTATATTTGGCAATTAGTGGCAACCATTTAACACCAAATTTGTTGTTTTTGTTTTGGTTTTTTACACATATATAGAGATTATATCAGCTTGGTGCACGTAAAATTGTGGTGAATAATGCATCTCCAATAGGATGTCAGCCGCATCTAATAAGTGGAGGTAGGAATGGACCAGAATGCGACTACTTAGCCAACAACCGGGCATTGTTATTTAACAAACGCCTGACTAATTTATTAAAAGACTTGCAATCCACCCTTTCGGGATCAAAATTTGTTCTTGGAGATCTATATAAAATTTTTCAAGATGTCTATGCATCGCCTACCTGGTATGGTGAGTATTGTTCAATATTTAGGCCCAAATTGACATTGTGATTGAAAATAGATTTACTTAATTGTAAGTAATTAAATGTTCCATCAAATTTTGGTGTTTGGGATCAAACCTTAGTAATTCTTTTGCTTTGACATTTGAGATCAAGATATATTTTTCTTTTTTTTTTCTGCAGGATTTACCGATGTAAGGAGCAGTTGTTGTACTGAAATAGATAAAGGTTTAACTAAACCATGTCTTGCAAATGTAGCACCATGCAAAGACAGAAGTAGCCATGTTTTCTTCGACCCAATGCACCCAAGCGAGAGTATGCATTTCATATGGGCAAGGCGTCTCTTAAAGGATTCATCAGTTTCTTCTCCCATCAACTTGATTCAGCTAATACAATCTTAAATCTGACCATGTGTCTTATGCTTTCTTAATGCCAACATAACAGAATAAATTTCATAGTAAGACTTGGCCCTTCAATTTTTTTTTTCCTTTTTTCCTTTAAAGAGAAAGAAATGCTTAATTCAATAAGAAGAATTGCATGTTGTCTTTCTTGGCTGTCCATTGATAATAACATAAAAGACCGCTTAGTTATGTTATTCATGAACCAGATCAGTATACATTAATTGCTTTACCTTAATTTTTATTAAAATATCCATTGTTGAGAAGTTCAGTCCGAGAAAGCATAAAAAGCGTAAAAAGTGTTTACTTTAATTTTTTATTAAAAAGTGTTGCAAGTCTCCTTGTTGACAAGACAGGCTGGGGATTGGATGAAGAATTTGAGTGGGGTATGAAGACTTTAAAGTGTCAAACCAGTCATTTGGTTTTCAGATTGAAGAGTAGATAGCTAATTGGTTTGTTCAGATGATGCAGTTGTCTTTTTTCTTTTGGTTTTGTAACCTGTCATGGTACAACTCCATTGCTCTTTGTAGCAAGTTTTCCCTGCTTTTTTTTTTTTTTTCTGATAAAAGAATTTTAATTATTGAAAAAAAATTAGCAAATTGCCTAAAATCTAGTTATGGCAAAGAGAAGACTAAGAATCAAATTAGAATATTTATTAGCAGCTGGGCCTGTTTTGAGCAGGGGCTGCTTCAAAAGTAACTGATTGATGGTATCTAGGATTTGTTCGCATCAAGCTAAGCATAAAAAGGGAATAAAGCATCATATTTGCAACAATGTGAAATGACTTGAACCACTTAAAAGACAATGAGTAATGAGAGTGTGATCTGATAAGCTTTAAAACACAACTTCCAACAACATTGTTTCACTACATTCTTAAAATTAAATCATTCGAAATTAACTGAAAGTATATAAACAGTACTCCTAGAGAAAATCCTTAAAGTTGCATTAACTCAAACAAGGTAAATGGAGAACAGACAGAGTGGTCCTTCAAAAAGCGCCTCATCCAAATGAAATGAAAACTCTCGGTCGGATGGAATGGGTCAAAGAAGACATGGCTCGTTCTGTCAGCGCAAGGAGCAACATTTCTGGCGCATCCTCTAGTTCCATTCCTCGCTTCGTCAATGCAACAAGAGCCATTGACATTCGTAAACCCTGCATTAACAAAGAACAAATGAACTAAATGTTTCATAATATTTTATTAAATAAGAGAGAAAATTTTGGTGTGGTATTCTTTTTCCTAACAATTCTCACCATATGCTGCTGGTTGAGTGTAAACATCTTCAAACACTTTATATAGATCACACAGCACAAATGTGGAACCCTTCAAGGATGTTTCCAACTTTGTCAACAAGTTGGGAAGGAGTCCATTGTAGAAAGCTATTCTCTGGTTAACATCTTCAACACAGGAAGTATTGTGCATTTTTGTGTTCAGATTGAAAGGTTGGCAGCCTAATGGAGAAACATTGTTAACCAGGAATTTCCTTGCTCCCAGTTGGTATATTGCCTGCATCATGATCATTAAAAATGTATAAAATTGAATATACAATTTCAATACTATGTCCCACTGACTTGAGCTCTGATCCGCGCGTTAACCTGACTCGATCGTAAGATTTTCTTTTTTCATTTTATTTTTATTTTTATTTTTTAATTTTATTTTTTAGCTCATTTTATTTTATTTTTTTGGTTTTATTTTTGAGAAATTTTATTATTTTGTAAAAATTATTTCTTTTAAAAAAATAGTTATATATAAAAAGATCTTTTCAAATAAGTTAAAAAAGAAAAAGAAAAAGAAAAAAATATTTTCAAATAAGTTTTCAAAAAAAAAAGTAGAAAATCTTTTTCAAATAAAAAATCCCTACAAAATAAATTCATGAATTTTATCAAACAATTGGTGAATTTTCATGGATTTAATTTTTGAAATGAAATCCACCAAACTATTGGGAAATGCCATGAATCAATTTAAAAAAAAAGACAAATTTGTACTCCAAATAATTGGAGGGTTATTTCAAAGTAAGTTATATCAAACTATTGAGAGATTTTACTAATTTTTTTGAAATAACATAAATTAACAAATTCGACAATGGAGCTTCTTCAAAGTGGGACTTTAGTCTCCAGGAATACTTTTGAGATGAGAGAATTATCTTAAATTGCTATCAAAATATTAGGACAAATTTAAGATATATTTTCAATATTAAATTATCTGGTAAATCACAAATATGATCAAGGCTTGGATAATCTGAAACCTAACCGGTACCATCCTTTGGATAAGCACTATGGGAATGCTATAACCTTCCCTAAGCGTAACTGTACTCTTAAACTTAAATTTTGATTTTGTAGATTAAATTCAATTAGGTGGCCAATCACACTTCAATAAAAAGATTGGTGGCGACTCTTCTAACCCATGTCTAGCGATAGGTCCACGGATATATACGTTATGACAATTTGGCTACTTTATTAGGGACATTAAGAGTCAAGCCAATAAATGATTTTTTATTATCCAAGCCTTGCTTAATAAAGTTAAGATTATTTTTTTTTATTTATTTCTTTTCATTGCTTATATTTACTTAGTTATTCATTTATTTACTGTATATATCTGTCATTTATTTGCATATATATAACATAAAGCTCTCCATTTGTGCTCTATCTTTAGGAGAGAGTGAAGTGCCTATGCCCTTATGAAGTCGTTATTTTACTTACTTTATAGTCTTTATTTTTTTTGAAGTGATTAACCAATTTCTTTGTCTTTTTATTTCTTTCTTGTGCATATTCATGAACATACATGCAGCTTGAATATTATGCTTACTAACTTTTTTTTATTATGTATGCATGTGTTCATGCATCACTGCATTCATTCTCATGCATAATCTGAAGGTCCATAAACATCATTCAAATTTTGCACCATAATTGTGAGAAATCAAGGCTCAAAGATAGCTCAACACTAGTACTACACTCGAGCTAAAGCCAAAAAATGGAGCAAGATAATGCAAGTTATCTTGAAATGATAGAAAAGGCTCAAGAGATACTTGAAGAAAAATTAAGCAAAATTCTGAAAGCTCTAGAAAAAGGAAATAAAGGAAAGGCAATAGAGGAAGATTTCTTACCTAAAGCTACTGAATCAACATATCCTCTGGGTTTCGGTCCATATCAGACTCAAACTGCCCTCAAATTTTCAACCATAATAGGTAACCATTCCAAATTAAACTACCCGAGAATGACTTATACACCCGGTCATGAGAATGTCTAGAGTTATAATAATCTTATTTTTGTCGAAAAAGCAGCTGAACCTATTCAACTACCTATTTTGGATGAGACAAAAGAGCTAGAAAAGTTGCAAGCAACTTTGTCTATGAAAAATTCTAAAACCGACTAGGCCATGAGCATGATTGAGGAAAGATTATGGGCTATTAAAGGCATTAATTTCTATGGATCCATGGATGTTACCAACCTTTGTCTGACTCCAAATGTTGTGATTTCTCTAAAATTCAAGGCATCAAAATTTGAGAAGTATGATAGTACCAAGTGCCCCATTACATACATCACAATGTACTGTCATAAGATGGTAGCATATATCAGTAATGAGAAGCTGCTTATGCATGTGTTTCAAGATAGCTTGACTACATCTACTACAATATGGTATGTCTAGTTTGATAGAACTCACATCAAGTCGTGGAAGGATTTGACTTGATCCTTCATTAACCAATACTGTCACATCATAGACATGGCTCATAATCGTTTTTCATTACAAGGAATATGCCTAAAAATGATGAGACGTCGCTACCCAAGTACAACCTCTCTTAACAAAGAAAAAAATGACGGTGCTATTTGTAAGCACTTTTAAGTCACCATACTTGAGATTTCATGCCCTCATGAAATTTCATATCTTCGTATAGGCTTGTAAAACACTTTCACTCAAATTAAACCCTTCTTATTGGTAGCCTATGATGGGTGAGGATCGAGATGCTTTACTAGTCTATGATAGACTATGATGTAAGGAACAATTTGAGAACCTTTTAGAGGTAATCCAAACCACATAGTGTTAACTTTAAGAGCCTAACCATAGATAAAGCCATGTCCTTCCACCCTTTATAGTTAACCCAAATCTAGGGTCATGTTGTAAGTTTACTTGCTTTATAGTCTTTTTTTTTTTTTTTAAGGTGATTAACCAATTTTCTTGTCTTTTTATTTCTTTCTTATGCATATTCATAAACATATATACAGCTTGAATATTATGCTTACTAACTTTTTTTTATTGTGTATGCATGCATTCATGCATCACACATTCATTTTGATGCATAATCTGAAAGGTCCATAAACATTATTCTAAATTTACACCATAATTGTGAGAAATCAAGGTTCAAGGATAACTCAACATCAGTACTAAGTAGGGCTAAAGCTAGGAAAATAAAGCAAGATAATGCAAGTTGTCTAAAAAAGATAGAAAAGGCCCAGGAGATACTTGAAGAAAAATTGAACAAAATTCTAGAAGCACTGGAAAAGGGAAATAGAGGAACAACAATAAAGAAAGATACCTTACTTGAAGCTACTAAATCAATATATTTTTTGGGTTTCGATCCACATCAAACTCAAACTGACCCAATTTTTCAACCATAACAAGCAACCATTCCAAATTATAACTACTCGGGAATGACTTATACACCTAGTCATAAGAATGTTTAGAGTTATAATAATCCTGTTTTCATCAAAAAGACAGCTGAACCCATTCAACTCCCAACTCTAAATGAGACAAAAGAGCAAGAAAAGCTACAAGCAACTTCGTCTTCAGAAAATTTTAAGATCAATCAGGCCATGAGCATGTTTGAGGAAAGATTACGAATTATAAAAGGCATTGATTTCTATGGATCCATGGATACTACCAACCTTTGTCTGGTTTTAGATGTTATGATTCCTCCAAAATTCAAGGCACCAAATTTTGAGAAGTGTGACAGTATCAAGTGTTCCATTACACACATCATAATATACTATCGTAAAATGGCAGTACATACTAATAATGAGAAACTGCTCATGTATGTTTTTAAAACAACTTGACTAGATCTGCTATAAAATAGTATATCCAGTTGGATAAGACTCGTATCAAGTCGTGAAAGGATTTGACTAATCTTTCATTAACCAATACTATCACATCATAGACATGGCTTTTGATTGCCTTTCATTACAAGAAATGGAGAAGAAAGCTTCTGAGTATTTCAAGGAATATGCCCAAAGATGGTAAGATATCGCTACCCAGGTATAGACTCCCCTAACAAAGAAGAAAATGACAATGCTATTTATAAGTACTTTAAAGTCACCATACTACTAGAAGATGATAAGGAATGTAACTAAGAATTTTACCGATATAGTGATTTTAAGGGAGATCATTGAAAATGCAATTAAGAGTGACAAACTGAAAGAAGAAGAATCATCTATTACTAAGAGAATGCCCAAGAAAAAGAAAAGTGAGACTCAATCTATGAGTTTCGACAGGCAACAATTTAGAAATTATCTGTCATAACGTCTAGATCCGAGGATCTATCACTAAATATTGATTTGAGGAGTCACCACTAATCTTTTTTGTTTAGGTGCGATTGGCCACCTAAGGAATCTATCCTTTCAAGGAACACCCAAGCTTGACTAAGGATCCCTAAAAGAATAGGTTCGGGTCTATTAACTACAATAGAGTTCGAGAGTACAGTTATGTGTGAAGAAGGTTATAGCACCCTAACAACTCCCATCGAAGGATGGTACCAACTTGATTTCATGTTATCCATTAAGCTTAAAAAATTTACCTAATAATTAATTATTAGAAATTATTCTTAATTGACTCCAATACTTTTGACAGAGAATTAAGAAAATTCCCTCACCTCAAGAGTATATAAGAAAACTACTATTTCACTTACAGGGGCTTCATCGTCGAATTATTTAATATAAAAAATTTCAAGAAACAAAAAAAAAAGAAATAAAAATTCAACTTTAAATATAAATCCTTTTCTTTAAAAAAAAAACTCATTACTTTTATACAAGAAAAATTGATACTTTCAACTTTTCCTTAAAGCATTTGGAAGTTTTAATTTTAAGAAAAATTGATATTTTCAACTTTTCCTTAAAACGTTTTTCTTGACAAAATTTTTTTAAAAAAGGAAAATCAGTACTTCTAACTTTTCCGTAAAATGTACTTTTTTAAAATTTTATTTTTGAAATTTTATTTTAAGGAAAATTGATACTTTCAACTTTTTCTCAAAATATTTTTTTGAAAATTTTATTTTAGAAATTTTATTTTAAAGAAAATTGATACTTTCAACTTTTCCTCAAAATATTTTTTTTCTTGAAATTTTATTTTAAAGGAAAATTGATACTTCCAACTTTTCTTCAAAAATATTTTTTAGAAATTTTATTTTCAAGAAAAATTAATAGTTTCAATTTTTTCTTGAAAATATTTTTTTAAAATTTTATTTTCACGAAAAATTGATACTTTCAACTTTTCTTTAAAAATATCTTTTAGAAATTTTTTTATTTTCA